AAAACTAGTTCATGCATTTATTACTTCCAGGCTGGACGACTGTATTTCATATCTTCATCACATTCACGTCAGTGTGTAGCAGGAACCTGCCCACAGCTCATGAATGTCAGCAGATTACTTTTCACACTCAGCTCTGCTAACAGACGTGTACTTTTGTACAATGATTAAATGATTAAAATGCTTCTTTTGTTTGCTATAGTCTCAGATTATTCATATCGCAAATATTGAATGTAGCTTATCTTTTTACACGTTCTGTAAAATGAATGAACACAGACATCAAAAAGGTGTTGAAATGATTCTGAAGAACGTCTCAGTTCTCCCCTGAAATTCAGATGAAAAACGGCACAGTGTTTGTTTTGCTGCAGCCTTTGTCTTTGCCCTTTTTCCAGGGAAGTGTGTTAACATGTCAGAGTCATGTGACTGAATAAACCTACCTGTGAGAACAAAGACAACCATGTCCTGCAGAACACTTTTAATAACCATCCATGTAAGACCCAAAAGGCCGACATTGTTCCGTCAGTGCTGCTGGTTTCAGTCTTTGTGCAAATGTTCTGTTTACACGGTTGGAAACCTGCAGTAAAAGTAAAGCACCACTTATTCTCTGTGATCTTTGGTCCTCCATCAAATCAAAAGCACTCCAATTTATGTACATGAAGGCAAATTATTCCATACGTGCTTCATGAACTGTCCTTGTGTGTGTACATTAAAAAAGCATGTTGTGTCTGTGTTGTTGCAGACTGTTACACAGTCAGCTGATTCAAACCACACGTCTAAGTTCTGTCTTGAAATTCAGATGAAAAACAGTTTCTTCAGTTCACAGAGCATGGCAGGGTTCTTTACTCCTACAGATAAAATCTTTAGTCGTTGCAAGAAAAAAATATTTTTAGGCCGTGTCTGTGCTTGCCTTTGGGCTTTCAGAGAAGTGTATCAGCATACCGAACTCTACATGCAAGAACAAACACAAATATTTCCTGCACACTTTTTCTTTCCTTTTAAGAACACCCAGCTGCACTGAACATGCAGGTTGACGCTGACGAGGCTTTCACTGTCGGAAGCTCTGGTTTGAAACATGTTTCATGTAAAAATGCAGCAGTTCGTTGAGTCTTTAATGAGCAGCAGAACAGAAATGACCTGCATGCAGCACTTTGTGTTCGGACTGTTTGAGGCAGAGCAAAG